AATTATATTGATAGCCTGATTAGAAGTAAATGTTCATTCAAACTTTGAAAAACTTCAAATTAAAATTAAAACGTGATGACACATGGGGCACTCTAACCAGTAAAGTATATTTAATATTGTACAGTTGGCCCCCCATGCCTACAGGTTCCCCGTCCACAAATCCAACCAGTTGCAGATTGAAAATATTTAGAAAAAAATAAAAATTAAAAAATAACAATACAACAATAAAAAATAACACAAATAAATATAATACAGTATAACAACTATTTACATAGAATTCACATTGTATTAGATATTGTAAGTAATCTAGAGATGGTTTAAAGCATACAGGAGGGTGTGCCTATGCCATGTGCAGATACTACACCATTTTATATCAGGGGCTTGAGCATCCAAAAATTTTTGTATCCATAGGGATCCCGGAACCAATCCCCCATGGATACTGAGGGATTACTGCATAATAAATAAATTAGATTTTGGTATTTTGGAGGAAAATCCCTTCTCTGGCCCTTTGCCAGTTGATGCAATGAATTCTGACTCCCATTCTTGGTAAGGCTGTACACGTGCACGTCAGAGTGTGGAAACTGTGACACACGTTGGTGTACCTGAGCAGGTCAGCCTCTGTCATGGCTTTATTGTTCATGATGGGCAACTTCTCCTTCTGTAAGGTGGAGATGATAATGCCTTCCTCACAGGGATATTGTAAGGATTCAGTTAAGTCAAGGATGCTAATCATTGCTTTTGTTGTTATTTTTGTTACCCTCCTTCTGTCTCAAATTTGTAATTGAATTTTATTATGTTAGCTAGCTGTGTATAAATTCCCACCAGAGCAAGCAGTTGTTACATAATAATTATGTATCAACAATGAAATACTTAGTTTTAAAGGTCTACCATCTGTTCCATTTTTTTCTCCAAACCAGATAAGAATTATATTTCCAAGGTGATGGACTCCCCTATAAACATGGAACTGGTGGCTGTATGTCATCTGCCACTTTGGAACAGAGCCCAACATATAAATTTTTATGATGATGAAAAGAGGGAAGCAAATATTATCTGTCATTCCTATTTTATTTGTAAGGCCAGTCTCATATTTGGGATGAAATTCAATGGAAGGAGTACCATCTAACTAGCCATTTATAATAGTATGAAATTCCATCACCTTACCTATGATTGTAAGATAGCTGTGGAGGAGATAGAAGTAGAAAAGCCATAGGCAAGGTCAAGTTTTCTCAGAAGAAGGTACATACCACATGAGGCAGGTTTTAATCTTTGTGAATTCACCTCAGTCCCACATCTGGCCTTCAGCCATGTAGAGTCAAGACTTCATCTTTTTAACATACCAAGGAGTTCCTTCCCCCAGGGGTGGGAGTTATTGACTAATATGAGAGAAACTGATACATACGCCAGAATGCCATTTTTTAAATTTTATTTGGTGAACCATGCTTGCCATGTGGATTACAATAGTCATGTCAGAATGACCAGTTCTACCTTTCCAGGAAAAAAAAAAACACAAGAAGCCAAATCGTAATCAGAAAGTTGCTTGATAATCCTAAGCAAATTAAGGGGAGGATGTGATTCGAGTGTTGAATATCACCAGCCTACATTACCTTCTCCTCAGGCAGAGCTTACACAGCACTGCCAAGAAGGATTATGATGCCTTCATTGACTGTCTGGGCTTCCATTGCTCACCAACTTCCTTTAGATGTACACAGTCCTTACTTGACATCTTAACACCTCAGTCAAAACTTCTGCCCTGGGAAGCATTTATGATTTTGTATAGGGATTTTGCATAACTCTGTTCTGAACCATTATGTGTTTTTTATAGATGTAACAGGGTTAATGTTTTTTAACTATATTTATACTGTTTTCTCTGTCACCTGTCTATGGATAAGACCCTCTGCCTATTCTATAAGAGGCATCCACTTGTGGATAGCATTAGGATTGTTACAGCAGGAATGCAAAGAGAGAATATTCTACACTTGATAAACAAAATATGTGTTGGTGCTCATTAGAAATATTAGATCAAT